ACCTCATCGTTCTAGTTCATGAAAGTGCTAAAGTGCACCTTCTGAAACAACCCCCTCCCCTCACACACACAGCCCATGTGTTAGCGTTTGACCTAAACCTAGCTAACGTTACTCCACTTTTGATTGTATATCCCGGTAAGGGGGGGAACTAACCCCCTCTCCTTCTCCGCGAGAGCTCACAGCAGCAACAGCGCGTTCATGTCTGGGACGTTCCTGGCTCTGTCATCGGTCCTCAGCTGCACCGCGCCCCCCGCCCCCTCTGCCTCCATCCCTTCCTTCATACCGCCAGGTAAACACCGGCCACCAGCCCCATGAAGACACCGTTGTCCAAACACAAACACACGGAGGAGGCCCGCTGAATTACCAGGTGCCAGGAACTAAGTGGAGGTGGGTGATTAATTTAATGCGTAGTGAATTTGAGTGAAAGGGACATTTTTATTTTAAGGTTTATATTCACAAAGCTAAATGCTAACATTAGCCATACACTGTCCTCGCGCTTCTGCGGCTGTCATCGTGCGCGCTCCCCTGCTTTCAAAGGCGCGCGCCCGTCTTGTGGGAATTAAAATCCGCTTGCGCTGCCCCTACTAACCTTTATTTTTTTCATTTATTTTCATTGAACAACTCTCTTCTTGACTTCACATAATTCAAGGTATGTAAAAATATATTTTCTGCCTTTTTGTTTTATTTTAATTTACGCGCTGTTGTCTGTGCATTTTCCCATGCGGTCACATTTACGCGTCATAACATAACAACATACAGATACAAGAAGCCCTCAAACACAGCACTGCTGTGACATTATCAAGTCAAACCCTATGAAGGCAGCGGCCGCTGTCTGCATTGTGTTTTATTTTTATTACAGGTCGGGTTATTATATACAGTGTAGTGCGCTGTGAGCTCAGCCTCCATCATTGTTATTAAGATTATACAGGCCGCAGTGCCACAGCTTTGCCTTTGTTTTCCGCACCACTCACGATGTCTTTGCAGCTTTGAGGAATTTTCTTTCATGTCGCAGAATCATTGTGCCTAGAATAAATGTGGATAGCTAGATAATAAATTCAAGGGAAAACATTGCTCTTCCTCCATATAAGTAAAAATGCCGCTGTAAATATTGACACAAAATGACAAAGAATAGATTTATTTGTTTGATATTCAAAAAGTCACTCAATTTATTTGGCATCCTGATCATCTGTGGCATTGAGTTAAATGTCTGTTTTCACCATTTTTTAGTCAGTGATATAAAAACATTTTATTTAACAAAGCTCAACATTTTCATATGTTATTAAAGCATTAAATTGAGCTTGGTACATAAATGAAAATGTGTGTAGTAGTGTTGGGGTTGCCCCAAGTTGTTATATGACCCTGTATCTTAGCCTGAATGGGAGAAAGTATTGATTGGAGTATAACAGTAGCCTTTATACCTGGTTAAGTTGTTTATGAATTAGCTTCTGTTCCATTGAGGACAAACACAGATTGATTTTCTTAAATTACATCATCAGTGCTTGGATCCATGCACAGTAACCATGACTGCCACTAAAATAAAACTGTATTCTATCTCATATTGCACATAAGAACATAGTGGTAAAAAACAAAACAAAACAATATCGTATTTCATGAGTGATCTTACAAAAAAGGTTTTTTGAGAGGCTTTCCTAGTCCTGACTAATATTGTATTTTTATTCAACATATTTAATAATAATACTGCATATCATTGCTTTTCTTAGCAGTTGTAACATCAATTATATTCAGTATAATGTTATTGTATTTGTTTTTTTGATTTTGTGTCTTGAACAAAAGTCTGGACAAGTGGTCAAGATAAACTGATTACTATTTGTCTATACAGTTGACCATTTTAAAGCTGAACCAACGTTGTATCAAAATACCACATATGAAAAGGATGGATCATTTTTATTCCTGCAGCAGCAGATTAATTTTGAGTACTGAATTTTGAGAACTGAGTCTGACCATCACAATCAAATATTTATACTGTCTGTGTTTTAAAGCTTTGTTGGCAATGCTGACTCCTCTGAGACCTAATTAGAAGAAATGACAGAATATGGATACAAAAGACATCTGCTGACACTTAGTTTTCCTTTTCAGAGTCATGTAGTGGGTTGTGAAGTTGTGTTGTTGATGTTTTTGCAAGAAATCAATAAATGGCCTGGATGCTATTGCATAATTGCCCATGAGGTGCTGGAGGTACCCAACGTCTCATTAGGTTCTTGCAGTGCAGTTAGTGTATTGGCAAAAAGCATTATTTGAAAGTTTAACAAATGCCTTATGAAACATTATGGTCCTTTATTTACATGAGGAGCAGGTCACATGGATCACCACCTTTGTAACATTAGTCTACATGACCGTGTACAACTTGTTAGAACAAGCTTCTTCAATCCCTTGCTCATTCACTATCAATGTCATCCCATCATCCACTTTTCTATCTACCTTTATCACCACAACTGGGTTGTTTCTATAGCAACAAGAGAATCTGCTCCAGGCTTTGTCACACTTTCTTGCTCTCTCCCTGTTTGCTCTTGGCATGTTTTCCTCTGTGCAGCCTGAGCCTCATAGCAGGCTCCTGGCTATCGCCTATTTTAGGTGGAGTAGCTTGTTTGTTTTTGCTCTCTGTTGGACACAAAATGGAGGAGGGTGGGTTGTTTTGTATTGTAGAATGTGCTTTGGTGCTAATGCTATTTCAGCAGGTAGAGGATTTTGCTTTCCTGCCTGTTTGATCTTTTTTCACACAATCAGCATTCACAGCATGAAGTGATAATCATTCAGAACGGTGCAGAGCACCAGTCTCTATACAGTCTCACTATAACCACACATGTAAACCTGCACTCCTTTCCCTCCCCATCACTATGAATAACAAAGTGAGAAACACACACAGAGAGAGAGAAGGATTCAGAGAAAGGGTCAAAGCAGTCACCATTAGACATACTGTATATGCAGTGTTGGATGTTGTGCTCAGCAGAAGGGACACAGAAAGAAAAAGATTTCTGGAAGCTATGTTGGTACCCTCTCAACTACCATACAAAATAAGGTAAAGAAAAAGAAGCACAGCAATTGCAAATGGCTAAGTCCCTTTGAAGGATGGCGTCTGGAGAAAGACCATATTCCTCTCTTAATATTAAAGTAAAACATGTTGTGTACAAATTCTTGTCTGCATCAGTCAGCTTGCTTGTGCACACCTACCTTTTACAGCCTGCAGCAGCAAAAGCACCAGTGGTGGTGTTTACGGTTCAGTTACTACTGTGTACCCTGACTTTCTATATTGTTTTTGTGCTACTGTTCTTGCACCAGATAGGTGCAGCATGTGTGCAAACATCTTGATGATGATTTAAGGATGCAGTTAGTGTTTCTGCAACATGCCTGTCACAAATATCTTTTTGTTTTTTTGAGAACAAAGTTACTTTTCTGTACCACCCTCATGTGTACATGGCCCTTCCCTTCTGCCTAAGCCTCCTGGCTACATATTCATTTTGTCCCTCCCTCACCTTTAGTTGCTAGGCTCACGAAATCCTCTCTGAACAACATCCTCCTGCTTGCATAATAGTGCTGTCGGGAAGACGGTGAAAAACAGCACAGCCACAGCTGTTCTGTTGTGCTGCGCAACTACTTTCTAGGATGCGTTTAGAATGTTTTTTTATGGGCTTTGCTGACCTCGATTTCATGAAA